TTTGTATGCAGTTACAGTCTGTTTCTGCAGCTGAATACCGAGTTCAAAGATTGCCCTCCAACCCTCTGTGAGAAAGGACATGAAATTAGTTCTACTGAAGTCACTCATTTCAGTTCAAAAGAGTATCATCTCAGTTTTATCTTGGGGAATTTTGTTTACGTTGCTCACCAAGCCTAACCCTGTGGTTAGCACGAAGGTCAGAGAACTAAACAGCTCATCCCGCCTCATCTGTCTCTGCAGAGAGGGCCCTGCCTCCACATACACATGATAATGATTGTTTTTCCTGAATAATTCAGGATGGCAGATCATCACCGGGTGTCCCGGTGACATGACATCGAAGATGATTACCCTTTACGAGCTAGAAAGCAGAGCTCCAAATCTGAAACGTGTTCAAATGTTTTTGCCTTCCCGTCAGCTACCTGAACGACCTGGAGAGGATAGCCAAGCCGGACTACATCCCCACACAGCAAGATGTGCTGCGGACCCGCGTCAAGACCACAGGCATCGTGGAGACACATTTCACCTTCAAGGACCTGCACTTCAAGTGAGCCATCTTCTCCCCTGTTTGTCCCGCACGAGCCAGCTAAAGTTAACCCCATTCATCACTACATTTGAGGATAAACTAACTATTAAAGAAATGAAAGAAAGTCATTTAGGAAGTCAAACAAAACAGCGTTAACTCATTTTAAGATTGTTTCAAAGCAAATGAGCAAATCGTGTTGTGTTTGTCATCAAATGCTCGTACTTACAATATTTTCATGCCTGTTTTTACTTCGTGTTTTTCCAAATAACACTTCCTATCATAAATGTACAGGTTTTGAAACTCAAAATCTTAGCAGCTGAATTCAAGGGCACCTAATGATTGCGCGTTTCACTATCCGAGTCATATGTTCCATCTGACAGAGACAGTTTGGAAAGAGCAACTGAAAAAGCTTAATCACCTCCATAGAAATGAGCCTCCCTGTGTGCCGTGCGCTGGAGGACATTTCATATTTCTGCGGGGATGCGTTTATGTGACCGGCATAAACTAAATCTAGCCAGATGTGTTTCCCACCCGCAGCCTCCTCAGCGCAGCCTGATTTACAGTATGGGACTTGTGTAAGCAGTGTGTCGTTGAGGTAAACAGAGCAAAGTGTGTCACCGTTACAGTGAGCTCTGCTTACTCAGCCTGCGGCCGGCCGGTCGGGACAGGCAGAGCGCTGCTCTGGTTAAGCACTTCTGCCAAATGAGCCGTGCTTTGTTGGGAGGACCCACGTGTGCTGGAGGGAGTGTGTCACTCTAAGACGTATCAGACGGTCACGCCACCTGTAGCTGCCCGTTGAAATGCCACCTTTTAAAACTAGATGAAGAAAATCCTGACTCGCACAGTGCAGATGAGCATCGTCTCCCTTCATCCAAGTCCTCTCTATAATCATGAATAAGTCATCCAGGACCTTGGAGAGAAACCTGCTGCTACTGTCCCTAACTTCATCTTTAAGCCTTTCTGTTACCACAGCAACAGCACTGTAACAAAATGATGGCAAAAGGCAGCAAAATGATGATGCCTGAGCAGCAGGGATCTTTGCCTGAGGTCCAGGCTTCAGTGGAGGGAGCTTGAAGCAGTTTGGGTTGTCTGTCCCGGACACATTGGCCGTCTCAGAAAAACAAGACTCTCACTCTGTTTTTCCGTGCAGGATGTTTGATGTGGGAGGCCAGCGGTCAGAGAGGAAGAAGTGGATCCACTGCTTCGAGGGCGTCACAGCCATCATCTTCTGCGTGGCCATGAGTGCTTATGACCTGGTCCTGGCAGAGGATGAGGAGATGGTGAGTGAAGCATCTCTCTCTTACAATTCAAAATTTTCCTTCCAGGGTCCATTCCCTGGAAAATGTTACACAACAGTGAGGGATGTGGTTTCTGTGTCCTTCCTTTCTGGTGCCTTGCTCTGCTCTCTGTTCACCTTCTCATTTGTGCCTGTCCAAATTCAGAACCGGATGCACGAGAGCATGAAGCTGTTTGACTCCATCTGCAACAACAAGTGGTTCACAGAGACGTCCATCATCCTGTTCCTCAACAAGAAGGACCTGTTCGAGCAGAAAATCGCCCACAGCCCTCTGACCATCTGCTTCCCCGAGTACCCCGGTACTGTTATTACTGTGGTTGTCCGTTTGACTAGTCGGTAAATAGTTGGCAATACATAGTGTTGAGGTCATGTAAAGTACAACCACTCTGTCAGTGGGCCAAAATGTTCTCATCTCAGATGTGAAAATTCCCCCTCAAGCGTTTTCGAGGTGCTGTGCACTCAGCTGGAAATGGTAAAAATACTTACATTTGTAGCTTAGAAATATAGAGCCATGATGAAAATCAATAGAGATGGACACTTAGTGCATGTCATGAATGGAACAGAGTTATGTAATGTTATGATTTGTATTTGTAGCTTTTTTAAAGATTTTTTTGTGGCTGTATAGTTTGAAGTTTGAGCATTTCTGACATTTTCCAGCCCTCACCTGGTTTTCCCTTAGTGGTAAATGAGGCTTTCTGTGTGGCCCATGTCTTAGGGGCACAGACTGTCGGCAGGAAATAACCACGCTTCAACGCTCTCTCTCTCAGGTCCCAACACCTACGAGGAGGCTCAAGCCTACATCCAGAGCAAATTTGAGGACCTGAACAAGAAGAAGGGCAGCAAGGAGATTTACCCCCACTTCACGTGCGCCACTGACACCAAGAACGTCCAGTTTGTGTTTGACGCTGTCACCGACGTCATCATCAAGAACAACCTGAAGGACTGCGGCCTGTTCTAAGAAAAAAAAAAAAAGAAGTCAGAAAAAAGGTCAAGGTGAGCCCAAAGAACCGACTAAGTGATTCAGACCTTCCTACCGGTCGAACAGTAAAGTGACCGACTTGTGCCTGTGTTTTGTCTGTGCTCTTTTAGATTACTTGAACAGTTCTGATGACCATAAATGACGGGGGAAGACACACCATCATGAATGACTGCACTGTCCCACCACGATTCCTGCTTTGATCTGCTTTTCATAAAGACACCTAAGAGACTGTAAACCCCACCAGCCTTGCAGATTTTCTTTGAATGCTGATCCAGATGCTCGTATTGTCGTCTTTGGGCTATGACCACGAAAATCAACATGAATTCTATTTTTGTTCCTTTTTTTTTCTTCTTTATTTTGCAATTACTAGAGGAGGAAAAGGCAAGCTTTTTTATATATATATAAATGCATACTTGTTACTTTTAGAGATTCTGACATGCAAATGATTAAACTTTTAATGACATGAAACTTATTTTTAAAAGGTGAAGCACAGGCATGGACATAATTATGATTGATAAAAGGAAAGTGTTTTTTTGTTGTTTTTTGTTTTGTCTTTTTTTTAGATAATGTTTACATCAATTCCTCATTCATAGCCTAAACATATATTGCTCTGCATGACTCCACATGAGAAATATTAGCTGTGTAATCTGCACAAATTATCTAACATTCCTACAAAGTGATTTTAAAAAAAGACAAAAGAAAAAAAAAAAAGAAAAACGGCTTCACCTGCGGGGGGGGGATTATGGCAAAATTCTAACATGTATTTAAAGTGTGTGTGTACCTAACATCTATCACTTTTTATAATACCATTTCTGTCTCTTGCAGTATGTTTGTGCCTTTTACTTATGTTTACAGCCAGTTCCTATATATGCTTTCAGTACTGTTTGACTTACTGTGCGCCTATATTTTTCTTCCATTTTTCAGTCTAGCACCTATGAATAAATTGTGATTATTAATAACGACAAAATCTAATTGAGAAAAAGGTTAGTGGTTTTGGTAAATATTAAAATGCTTTAAAAGTCCTATATGATTTAATTTAAATAAAGTAGACATCACTTGACTCTTGCATATTGTTCTCCTCTGTTTTGCCTCATACATGTACTTTGATGGGAAAACATATATATATATATTTATCTGTGTGTGAATGTATATTTTCTCACGCTTTTGATTTATCCTGTTGGGGCTGTCGTAAGAGTTGGATTGGGGGTAAAAACAAACGAAAATGGCAGGTTCCACGAATACTATATATAGTTTATTTTACACCATGTCACCGCGCATTAGCTGATCACTCTTTCACTGATTTTCCCAAACAAAGAATGTTAATATAGTTCCGCGTCATTGCATTTTACCTTTTTGGTCAGCTGTGACCCACTCGTCTGTCATTTTAATGGAGACATTTTGGATGAGTGCCGACATAGTTTCTGCCTAGATAAATGACTAACTTTGGTTAACATGCTGAAACTGTTTTTGAAATGATTCTTTTTTTATTGTGATTATCAGAGCTAAACTATGAGATACTTCCAACAGCTCTTTTTATGTGATTGTTTTTTTGGAAAAGTTCCGTCTTAAGCTATGAAACAAATCTTAATGGATTGTTTCGTCTGATGAAAATGTGCTCCCTTATCCCACTGTTCTGAGAGGCTTCAGACTTCCTCCTCAGCTCTCCAAACGCAGTGTCCTGTTACCTGCTGCAGGTACGACCCCACAAACTCTGCACAAAAACTTTACACAACCGTTCTTAGAAAAATAATGAATTTACAAGAGCCGAGCTCTTCTAAATCCAGCAGAAGGTACATATCAGTCTTCATCAAAGGGTCTTCCCGACAACACTGACCAACAGCAACTCTTCTAGAGTCTGTGTATTCAGCTGCTTGGTTCAGTGCTCTTTTCACAAGAAAATGAAGAGTATTGAACTCCTTAGTAGACAAAGGGCTGGTAAAATGCCCTGTTGCTGAACTCAGAGAGACAGGCTGACACTGCCATCTGTTGGACATTTAATGTTCACGTTCCCTCATTACTCCACTTTCCTTTGACAGAACTTTTTGTCCAGTCTTTAGAAAATTCCTCCATGTCTTTAATGGACTCCAGTTTCTTTGTTAGCAGATTTTTGTTACAACTTAAAGAATTTGCAGATATGCACATAACTTTGTCATTATTGCATGTTTTATGTTATCTACAGAAAATAAAGTATTGGGGGGGGTCTAAGACAAATTACACAAATAACTGCACTGATTGAAGGAATCCAGCCGTGTGCTTCCCTGCACTCTTTTTCTCAGTCCTCCTCAGACCCCCCCATACACACACACACTTTGATTCTTTTTCTGATACCGATTAAGAAGACCACCTGTCCAGGGTATGTACCCTGCCTCCCACCCAGTGACAGCTGGGATAGGCTCCAACACCCCTACGACTCTACAGGAAGTGAGTGGTATAGATTATGGAAGAATATTTAGGAACAAATTATGGTGAATGACTGCAAAGACACACACAAGGTCTTCAGCAATCTGTTCAGTCTATTATTTCCAAAATGCTCACGTCCCTGTTTTATATCTATCTGTTAGATTTAAATTAGTTTAGCTTTGAGTATAGAATAATTACACATTTGTAAGTAACTTGGTGGGAAGCCTCATACATCTTTATAGTTGACAATCATGAAGGAGAGCAAGTAGGACAAGAAGCTGCTGATGGAGACTCTCTCCTATTGAAAGATGACAAATCATTTTATTCCTTGAAAGTGTACTTTTTATTTCTCCCTTTGAGTAAAGCTGCTGCTACCAACATGCAATCATTTTAGTTTGTTGAGTCTGTTTAAAAGCTTTTCGTTTAGTTTCCAGTAAGGCCAGGCAAATTTTCTATCTGCGTGCTCTTTCCTGCACACTTTGTCCAGAGGGCGCTACAGCTCTGTGTCTGAGCACTTTGCTGCTCAGCCCACTAACAGATGTCTGGTTTTGGGTACCCAGCAGGAAAACAGATGGTCTGTCACACTTTCAGACAGGCTTTTCTTAGATTTTAGAAAAAGATAGTGTTTTTGCTTATCTGAGAAAAAGGTTTAGGCAGCTTTTCTTTGTTTCTTTCTTTTTAATAGGAATTTTGACCAAGCAGAAAGTAAAGTGCTACAATTAAGAACTGCAGAATAACTGTGTATACTGAAAAATATAGAAATAAGAGACTACATTTGACATTTACGGACAGCAGACGTTGATCTGAAACAACTGAGATGCGTTCAGGCGCAAGTAAATTCTGTCTTTTTTGCCACCCAGATTTGGCAGTACAGAAGCATATGAACAGAAAACTCTGAGCAGTACGGTAGGTAAGTTCACCTCTAACCTTTGTTCATCTGTAAAATGATAAAGTACATTAATGCTTCAGGAGAGCCATGAGGAAGATACTATATAGAATATTGAAACAAAAACAGCTTCATCAGAAGGCCCGTCCATGTAATGGCTAAAGTTGAGTGAGGCCTGCAGGAATGGAGTGCAGAGCATTCAAGTTACGAATGCTAATGGTGCACTTACCCTAGATGGTAGTATGATGCGTAAGCTGTCCACGAAGAGAGGAGGCATTTCTATGTGTTATTCTTATGTTTTCCCTGGTCAGTGTGCAACACAAATAATTGAAAAACTATTTTTAAAAGTTGAAATGACGAAAAAGATTCATAGACCATTTTTTAGAAAAATGAAGGACTGAGGCATTTGGAAAAGGCTTGAATTATAATGTCAAAGGTTGTATTTTACATACGAAGCTATGTTAATATCCTGCAGGTTTTGGAAGTGTCACAGGTGCTTGTATGCTAATGCAGGACTTGGTACGAAGACAAATCTGCACCTAAACAGAGGGCCGTCAGACTTGGATTACTCCCAAACGGAGCTGAAGTAAACCATTCCTGTTGATCCCCTCAGATTTGCATAGACATTCATTCTCCTGATCGCCTGAATGGAAAGTGGAGGATCCAAACGACTGCTGGGGTTACATGGTCAGCGTTCATTTATGGTGCAGATTGTAACATTTACATTTGGGCATTTTGCTTTCATTTGGATGCAGTGCTGAACAGTCAGTCACAAGTGGGACTTAATCTGCTGAAGTCACAATGATGCAAAAACAGAATGTGAAGGTTTGAATGAAAAAAAATCATGTCAAATATAAATACTCAAAAAGGAAAATAATATGCTTTTTTAAATGTAACCATAATATATCATACTTTGGCAGGTAAAAGTACTTTAGTTTTGCTAAAATGGTTTAATTTAAATATTTTTGCATGGGAATATATGAGAGAGTAATCTGATATTATATTTTAACCTCATTCTGGGCACACTGGTGATACATCACAGTGATACATTCACTTTTGTACTATACCTAATGTTCACTTATCTCTAATATGAAAAAGACACATGTCCAATAGAATTGTTCAAAGATGTGTGTCACCTGACTGAGTCAAATTGGTCTGAGGGAATAATCCTGATTATATGACTTTTCTCATTCCCAACAACTGATAAGCACATTGAGTTTGGTATATGGAGGCATTAATAAAAAGTTACATTTATTCAAAGTGTATATCTGAAGTGTATAAAAAGCTGCACAAAAGCTGCGAACTTTGCAAATGCGCTCCGCGCTCTTCCTGCGCGCTGATTGGCTGATTCGGACACCACTGGATGTTGACTGGCTGCTGAGCGCGGAGCTAAAAAGCAGCAAAGAGCGCTCAAGTTTCCACTCAGCACATCACTCCGACTCACGCGATCCCAGCTAGGCGGACTCGTACCCAGGTCCCACTTTGATGGGACCACTGGTTGAGCGTCACCATCAAAGTGAGTGTCGCGTTTCCCTCTCGTCAGATCTATTTTTTACACGCTTTTGTGGCTTCTTTTGGAGAGTCGATTGCTGATTGTTTTTCTTGCTCACTGGACATTTTCGCAGGAACTGAGGATTTCAGATGAAAAGGAAAGAGATGGTGAGTCTCCATTCTGTTTTCCGTTTTATGGCAAATGATTGTTTTATAAGTCATGACATGAACGTGCATATGAGTTTTAACGCTGGATTTTGTGCTTCTCCGGAACTTTATTTCCCAGAAAATAGAACACCCATGTCAGTTGTAATATTTTGAACAGCAGCTGTCTGGTAGTGTTGGTTTAGTATTTGGAGGCGACATCTGCCAAAGCCCTGCTGGAGGGTGGGCAGCCTGTGGAGCTCAGATGCCTTCTTATTTAGTTTGTGCACAGATTTCCTTGTCTTGTTAAGAACTATCTTTATGGGGTCCAATTTCTGTTCCTTTGTCTGTTTTTCCACCCCAGTCCTGCTTACACAAATCTTACAGTTTGGTACATTTGAAAGCAAATGATTATTGTGTGATGTTTGGTGCTGATCTTGCTGAGGTGGATAGGCTGACATAGGTCTCATTCCCACTCATGGCTGGAGGTCTCAAACACTGTTTGCACATAAAGTACACACTCTGTTTGAGGTGAAAGTAGAAAAACCAAAGCGGGACCTCTGGTTTCTTTGCTGATCAGTCCTATTCTTAAACTTTGTCACACACGCTGTCACATGATCTCTTATTCCCCTGTTTGAGCTTGAAAGTTGAACGGCATTGCTCACTGGCTGATTCTAGCCAATCAGGGCTGTGAGTTGGAGAGGAAATAGGAGTATTACATCCCCCCTGTGTGTATCTAGTGAATATCACCAGCAGACGTGCTCCACACTTTGAGGCAGAGCCAGTTATGATCCCAGGAACCCAGTTTGTGCTTGATATGCTGTAGATATCTTTGCTTAGGATTTTTGTCTCCCTTTGATGTATAGTTTGGGTTTGGCAACATCTGTCTGGGCTTTGCAGTTGAATCACTTCTGAGTCAATGAATATAGGGCGTTCACCCAGGCTGCTGGTGTGGCTGCATAAATTAACGGACAGCTAGATATGTTTTGTCTGCTTGTTCGAGAACTTTGTCCTTTGAACGGGAAGAAAGCTGACCTTCCGGATTACAACAAAAGAAAAGCGTTTTGACATCAGTTGGAGCTTGCGTCAAACAAGCCTGAGCTTGCCCATAAAGCAGCCGGTGTGATCAGTTGTTATTCATGAGGCCTCTGCAATGGTTATAAGGCGTACTGATGCACGGCCATCTTGCATGGCCCCTTCTGCCGTGATGCTGCCCTCCGTTTGATGAGTCCTCCCCTCTTTTCTCCTCAGCTCTGCCTCCGGGACTCGGGCGACTGCTTACGGGAGCAGATGCAGTACATGATGCGGTCGCTGCAGGATCTGAAGCAGCTGCGCAGGGCCTGCCCGGCGGCCAGGCCGGCCCCGGGCCCCTTCGGCGCTCCGGCCCTGGCGCGCCACTCGGCGCTGGCCCGGGCGTGCCAGCAGCGGGCGCTGCAGCGCGCCCGGCTGCGGATGTCCGACGCCAGCACGGCCAGCACCTACGACTCCGCCTGCTGCCTGGCCAGTCCGCTGGAGGAGGAGGAGGAGGACGAGGAGGAGGAGGAGGAAGAGGAGGACTCCGGCAGCCGGCTGGGCCTGCGGTCTCCCAGCAGTCACAAGAGTTTGGAGTTTGATTCCGGCTACTCGGAGGCGTCCTGGCAGGAGGACGGGCTCGTTCTCAGGAGGACCAGGAACGTGCGGGTGTCGTCCGCCGCCTGCCTGCGCACAAACAGGGCGCCGAGCGGGCGCGTTCGACCCAAGTCCACGTCGGACGCATGCCTGGAGAGGTGGACCTCGTTCGAGGTCAGCGATCCAGAGGACTGGACCAACTCCCTGCTGACCAGAGGGCGCAACCGGCAGCCTCTGGTCCTGGGGGACAACAGTTTCGCGGACCTCATACAGAACTGGATGGACTTGCCAGACTGTCCCGAACCCTCAGAAGCGAAGCCTCATTCAGGACGGAGGCTGGGAAGGGGCTTCTTTGTCAACATGAGAAAAAAGCTGTTTGGCGTTCCTAAGAGCGTGGAAGAGCGAGTGATGATGAGACCCACAGACTCTGCCCATCTCAACAGAGCTGCCAATGCCCCAAAACGTCTGTCCTGTCCTGTTGTGGCATCACAACCCAAAGTCCCCTTTTTCCACCAGTCCCACTCGGGAATTAATGAATTAGACACTGACATCTTCCACTTTGCAGCGCTCATGAAGTCAGGCAGCCGGCAGCCAATAATTTGCAAAGATATTATTGGCTACATCTGACACAGCATCAAGTAAAGCCAAGCAATGACTGAACAATCCTCCGAGTCACTTTATTTTTATATGACTGTCTTTTTCTTGTTATATTTGCAGTTGAGCAAATGGAAATAAAGCTTTTCTCATGATTTGTACTCTACGTACGCCTATTTATGTATTTCAGTCATATTTTGTTTTGACAGCGAAAAATGTGTCAGCTGATATTCTGAATCCTCAGAGTTGTTGGAACTTAAATAAATATTCAGAAAAGTCATCTAAGGTTCCTCCTTATTAAAGGAGGCTTTTGCTGACTGGACCTGGGTTCCCCCGTTTTGATGAGAACACCCTGGGTTGTGTATTTGTTGCCGCGTGGTTCGGCTTAATGTTTAATAAAAAAATATGACAGATGTACAAACTCTTAGGTTTCCAGTTGTTGTTTTAGTAAACATGTTGTTCAATATGGGAGTTGGTGTTCCCATAAAACATCGGTTCTGGCTCCAGCATAAAGTTTAAGCCGTTAAGAAGGACAAGAAAGCTATTTACAGCCCAGAACCAGAGGCAGTCAACACAGTATCCGATGAGGTCATTCTCCATGATTCTGCATAGTTAAAAGTGAAAAGAGGTGAAGCAGCTGCTTGCAGATGGAGCAGAAGTGTACTCTGCTAACAGCTACCTGCCTCATTTAAACTGGTTGATGTTCTTGTTATTGAACTTGCTCAACCAAAAACAAATGGTTAATGACTCAAATAATTCTGGGCTCACCAGGGAAAGGAAGAACTGCGGATAGAAAATACTGATGCATGAATCAAGATAAGCTAATGATCACTTCACCTTTGCCTTTACAAATTCACTTTGTTCATTAATTCAGGGTAGAAACATCAGCGGACAGAATTAAGATAAAACAGGGAATTCTCATGCTCCCTGCTGGAGCCCGCCTCACCAATCATGCGTGCTATCATGTTTAAAGGAGGTTAGGAAAGAAAGATGGTGTTCTTCTGGTGCCATTTGTCTGAGGTCTGTTCTCTGAGTCCCGTTGGTAAGCATCAACTGGGATGGGAAGCAATCAACCTCTCTAAGGACATGGTAATAACACTGGAACAACTCTGACACTGAATGTTTAACGCTGTTAACATCCCTGTTCTTGATTTGTGATTCATGCATTTTACAGCCATCAAACTTTTAAACTCCTAACTGTAAGCCACGCGTTGTGAATGAAAAGGGAAGCTAAATGTTAGATTAGATCCTGTGATGGTGTCAGGTGACTCCCACTAATGCAGAGCCCAGAAGACTTATTTTTTTGGAATGCGTTTTGAAACCTCTGCTCTGAAACACACCCATTCTGGACCACCACTTTCTTCTTCTCATGACAAAGAAAATCAACGTCAATCACCAGTGGACTTGCAGATAAGCGCGTGTAGCATGTCACATGTGGACAGCTCTCACTGCCCTCTGTGTGCTTGTCAGTACTGTTAAATCAACAGATTTGAGAATTTTTGAAGCAGACTCTCCTTCAGAACCAGTAAAGATGACTGCTTCCACCAGACCCCGTAAATAGTATTCATGACACCGATGCAGAGCAGATCTGTCAAAGCGCCACACTTAATGGGTGGCCTCGCCAAACACGGTGGCATATCTTCTGTTGATTAAAGGTTTATCTGGGGATTTTGTAAACTCTCCTCACTGATGGTTCTGTGAGTGTGAACTCATGTTCATTCAAATCAGCAGCGACGTGATTATCCCTATGTTAAAAAAAGAGGAGCTATTGGACTTTATGTACTGAAATCTTTACTTTGTTGCATGATACACTTGATATTGTTGCATGATATTGTAGATCCCTGCTGACATGATCTTTTGGCCTTAAATGACTACCACATTTATTAGATTTTTTTTTTCTTCTCAACATTTGATTCCCAATTATTGGAGTTCTTTACTGTCCTCACATCAGCTGATAGAAGAGATGGACATACGGTTGAGTGAAAGCGAGTGGATGATAAAAAAGACGTTGTTGAAAGTGGTCAGAGACCGAGTTGTCACAGCTTTTTTGGGGGGTAATTGATACACAACTATTTGACCGCAGCAGAAATGCTTAATTGGCCTGTCGACCCCTGTTTGTTTTTTTATTTTACCAAGTTGAAGGAAAAAAAGATCTTGTGATTTTCTGCATGGGAAAGACTACAAAAAGCCCTTTAGTTTCTCCAGCTGCTGACACTGATTGCAAAGATCCTCGATTCCTTTAACAAACCGTGAAACTGCAAGTTGAAAACTGCAATCACAGGGCTTTATGTGAGGGCATGTTTCCATTCGAGAACAAGCCGCAGCCCTGGCTGTTGGGCTAGAAAAGTGGTCAAATATGCAGTTGTTAAATCCCATCCTTTAGACTATTAGATATCACCTTACAGACAGGGAACGCATATGATTCCCCTCTGGATCTGAATGAATTCCACTGATCTGACTCACCACGGCTGCTTGCGTAACTCTGAGTTTCATGGATTCGTTTTTATGGAGAAACTGGAAGTGCACCGTCATCTACAGAAGACAGTTGAATTGTGTAATGGTATTTTTGCAGAGGTTTGTTCAGAGAAACTGTGTAAAGGTTTAAAGCCCTTAGCTGCGACTTGGACTGGTGCCCAAGTGCATATCTGTCACAGAAGCAGATGGTGATTAAAAGTCTGTCTGCTGCACAGCCAAGAAAATATTTCATCTGTCACAGACAGATTGAGTATCAGTTTACCAAAGAGGGACTCCTCTCCTGACAGCTGAGACTCTTCCTATTAACCTGTGAAGAGTGGGGGTGCTGCTGTCGATTAATGTTCTTTTTTATTTTTCTTCCTGTCTTTCCTGGCCATGAAATGTCTGGGTAAATAAAACCAGAAGAGCTGGGTCATTCATTGCACCTTTACTGCTCTTGGCGATGACACGAAGCTGCGAAATTTAATCTGAGCATGAAAATAAATTGAGATATCTCTTTTTCTTGTTTTGTTAGTTATAAATTGAATAGTTGCAAACATTGACCTTTTTGACAACTACATAGTTGATACTAAAATTAATATTCTAGTTTGGGATCGTTTAAACTAAGACTCTTTTTTGACTCATGATGTCCTTCTAGCGGCAGTTGGATTACAGGGAATCAGGAAATCATTTGACAAGCTTTATTTAGAAATCGCGCAGCTGTTTTCTTGTTCTGCTTGCCATAAACCAGACTGTTAGGTTCATGGGAATCATAACATTTGAGATGACACAGGCAAAGTGTCCCATGAGTCTTTGCTTTGGTTCTCATGCTCAAATAGTGCCCCTCAGGTCAGACCCTACTTCCTCTGTTCAGTACAACACATGGCTTTACAAGCACACCCACAACCCCACAGTATAAATAAAACAGGCTCATTAGAGGCCAAAAATGCTAACTTTTAAGTGCTAATGTCAAGGGTAGGTGGATTTATACTTCACCAGCATTGGCTCAACTTTATGAAATGAGGCTAAAATTGTTATCTGTATTAAAATTGTGTTGGGACAATAATTTACACAATTTTACAAAAGAACGTACAAACATTTTTGGAACGCAATCATATTAAACATTGTGAGTAGTAAGGGGTGGACCTGCCTGGGCTTGTGCCACTTCATAACCCAGTTCACACACATTTGGCTCAGTGACATGACAACATTGTTCTGTAAGAGCCTGCAGTAGGCTCAGACACCAGCCTGCAGACCTGACCGCTCCATTCTGATGTGGAAAAACACACAAAAGGGCCACAGTTGAGTGGATGGAAATAAGAAAACATTTGCTTCTCTGGAAACACTTTTTTTTTGCTATTTTTCATCCTCAGGTTTAGTGGTTTAGTGAAGCAGCCATCCCTAACCTTGATGTTTCTTAATTTAGGTAGTTCTTAAATAAGGCTGAAATAGTTTAAACTTGTATGTCTATCATCATGCAGAGTTACGATGGAAACAGTTTGAAAATGGCATCATAAAAAACCCAAAGAAGACTTTCCAAAGTGTGGGGAACATGCCAAAGCCACAAATTCTCCACATTCCTTCGTGGTTTTGCTGTTAAAGTATGCAAGTGAGAAAGAGTTTCTGAGCTTTTGCTCCATTCACAGGCACATGACTCTCTGTGGTCACACAGCATCTTCTCCTGCAGCCCCACGAAGTCAAACACACACTTTCACTGCCAAACACAAATATTCACACTCACCTACTGCTCACGCAAACATAGTCATCGCGTTTGTTTCTACACCATAGGGACAGAAGGCGTCAGCTTTATAACAGCATCTCTTCTGTAAAACGTCAAAGATGCCAGCCTGAAGAAACTTTGTCTTAAAGAATACAAAAACACATCCAAAACAAACTCCTCACACACAATTTAAAAATGATCTGATTTGGGTTCCCTGATTTCATACAAACAGAAATGCATATATATCCCAAAACTCCAATTACAGTTTATGAAAGAGCCTTTACCCCATAATAACCTACATTTGACTCTCAGTGAAACAGCCCACGGTTTTCAAAGGACTGATTAAAACATTTTTTTGTTCCCATTATTCATGAAAGTATCTCATGTGTCAGACATTAAAATCCCATGATGGTAATAGAGCGTCTGTTTCCCAGGATGTTGCAGACACAGGAAGCAGCACAGGAACAGCGTGGGAGAGAACGCGTTCATGGTCAGACGAACCCAAGGTGCAGAGAGATAAGAAGATGAAGAGCCATGAATTCTGCACTATAAATAAGAGAGGGCCCAAAATGCAGATGAGGAACAACACACCAGAACAAAGGCTGGGTTTGTCTCACCAATCTCAATGGAGAAGGACTAATCAGAATGCAAGCCTTGCGACACAATCGGTCATTCTGCGGGGCAGGAAACTGGGGTCGGAAGAGTGACCTTGATAAGATGTCCTCCTGTGGTGCCCACAGCATGGCCGTGCCACCACGAGCCGCTCAGCTTCAGACAGAAAAGCTTCATCAGGCCTCTGCACAATGGAGGCCTTCTCCAGTCTAAGATGGGCTACGCTGACGAGACAGATAGAAAGCAG